TCTAATTTTTTTAGACCTTGGACGGTCGCCCTGCCGCACTGGATCTGGGCCTGGCATGTCTCTCTCTCTCTCTCTCTCTTTATCTCCCTCAACAGTTGTGAGTGCTCTTTTCCCCCTTACTTTCCTTTCCACTCTGTTAAAAGCAAAACCAAAGCAAGAAACCCTTTCAAAGTTCTGATTTTTGGTGGAAGGCTCTCTCTCTCTCTCTCTCTCCCAAGCCCAGGTATCTATCTTTTTTGGGTTTCCTTTTCTGTTCACTTTTAACTGGTCCTGATATGTTTGGTGATTTTTGCTTCTCTATTGCACTCTATCTTGTTTTTTTAGCATCTGGGTCTTTTGGATCCAAAGTGTTGGGTCCCTGATTGAGATCTGTATGAATCTCTTTTACTTTGCTTCTTATCTTTTGCTATAGATTATGGGTTTTGTCTGTATTTATAGATAATTGATAGATACACACTTACATACATTCAGTTGAGTTTTTTCTTTAGCTCCCATGGCTCGTTGATCCATGGCATTTTTTTCTGTTGAAAGTTTTGTGCTTTCATGGAAAAAGGATTGGCATTTTTGAGGTAGATAACTGTGACTCTTGTACTCTTGATTCAGTTTTGACCCATCACTTGTTGGGATTTAGATTGTTTTATAGCTTGATGCTTCTGGGTTGTAAATAGCGTGAAATCTGATGGTTTTGTTGTAAATAGAGTGAAATCGAGTGGCGAAAGTTTAACTGTAGCTATGCTACGGTCAAATCCCTCCTCAATTTTAGAATAGATAATTACCTTCTTCCCTTGTGGCTTTGTAGAAAGCAATGGATTCTTTTCCGCTCCCAAACAGTTTTAATATTTTCTTAATAGAGTAAATTGCAGCTACGGTTCCTTAACTTTAACTCAATTGGAGCAATGGTCCCTCAACTAAAAATTCATTACTGTTGGTCCTCAACTCATCAAAATATGCAGCTATGGTCCCTCAACTAAAAATTCATTACTATTGGTCAAATTCATTACTATTGGTTCCTCAACTCATCAAAACATGCATCTATGGTCCCTCAACTAAAAATTCATTACCATTGGTCCCTCAACTTTAATTCAACTAGAGAAATTGTCCCTTAACTTTAACCCAATTGTAGCAGTGGTCATTCTAACATAACTCGTTTTGACAAAAATTTTGACGTAGTTGACGAAAAAGATTATAATTATACACTTTGATGAGTCCCTAATTATATAAATGGTTATTCCAACTTAACTTATTTTGACAAAATTTTGACGAAATTGATGAAAAGGACTATAGCTACACATTTTGATAAATTGAGGGACTGGTATTGAATTTTTAGTTGAGGGATCTCCAATTTGATTAAAGTTAAGGGACTACAATTTACTCTTTTTAATATGCAGAAAGAATGATACAATCAAAAGTCACAGATTCCCACCAACTCCCACCAACTGCGTATTTTCTCAACCCGAGCACTCCTGACCACCACCAACTTCGTATTTTCGCAGCGGAGAGCTCCGTTCGCCCGTCCGACCACCACCGTCGTATTTTCTCAACCCGAGCACTCCTGACCACCGTCTGTGTTCCAAATCTTCAGTTTTAAGGTATTCAAGAATTGGGGACCTTGAGTTCTTGACCTCTGTTCCAAATATTGTTTTTGTTTTCATTTTGGTTGAATTTAGGGAGAACGAATTAATGATTAACTTGCAGCTGACCTATAAATTTACTGCTCTAACCCGCGCCTAAATTTTCCCGTGTATTATTTTCTTTGTTTGATTTTTTCTTTTCACGATTCTATTCACTCTTTCTAATGGCTCTCTCACTCTAGTTTAATGCCCAAAACTCTATTTTTTCTATATTTTTTTTCTTCCCTTCTTCCTATCAGGTTTTTTTTTTTTTTTTTTTGTCGATTTGGTGTGATTCTTCAGCTCCAAGTTCCTGGGGGGCCGTTTATATTTTTTCAGTTCCGTTGTCAAAGTTTCAATTAAGTTTTTGGGGGTTTAAGAAATTTTTTATTTTGCGTAGGAGTGACAATTTGAGATTTGGCGGGACATCCAGTTGGAGTAGCACTTGAGTAGGGGTTGGGAGAGGGAGAGGGAGGTGAACGCAAAGATGGAAGAGTGGGAGATTGATTTGGCAAAGTTGGATTTAAGACATGTTCTTGCTGTTGGAACTAATGGCACTGTGTATCGCGGCGCATATGACGGCCAAGATGTTGCAGGTACTTTGATTTCTCTGAAGGCTTCAATTCGTTTTCAATTCTTTTTCGTTGTTAAATTTTGGGTGATGTGCAGGATTTGTTTGCATGCCTAAGTTTTCCATGTTTGAGACTTTAAAACATAGTTTAGTGGTCAATGAGTTTCACCAGAAATGAAATGGAATGGAGAAATTTTACAGTTTGTTGAGTTGGTGGACGCCTAGACGGTAAGCCATCGTCTATAATTGTTTAGTATAGTATCAAAGGCTCGTTTGGGATTGTTGTATTACAGAATTTGCTGTAGTGACCGTGTATTAGATGGTTAATGAATCTATTGGGAATGGTTTTAGCATGCTGAACTCAGATTTCAAACTTTCATTGTTATTAGACTTAGGGGTTTACTTCATTGCACAAAAGAATACATGTGATTGTTTGCCCAAGTATAGATACAAATTTACAACTACATAAATTTTTTTGATTGAATGTAAGAAAGCGGTGTTATTTGATTGAATAATGAACTCCCAACCATAGGTAACCCTGTATTTTTTTTTTATTTTTTGTCAATATTCTTCTCATGGCCTGTGTATTCTTGATATTATAGTGAAGATATTGGATTGGGGGGAGGATGGTATTGCCACAGCAGCTGAAACTGCTGCTCTTCGGGCATCATTTCAGCAAGAGGTTGCTGTTTGGCATAAGCTTGACCACCCAAATATTCCAAAGGTAAATTTAGTATATATTGGTTCTTCATCTCAGTTTGCGTCCTATAAAGTCACGATAGCTTCAGATGAAATTTTGATACTGTTTAAATGTCAATTTTCAGGTTTACGTGATGTTCATTTGCTGTTATCTTCTCCTATGGTTGAGATTTATCTATTTAAACTGTAACCATTATATTTGTGACAGTTTGTCGGAGCTTCAATGGGAACTTCCAACCTGAAAATCCCTGTTAAAAACACATCAAACGATAGCCATAATTCTCCTCCTTCAAGAGCTGGTTGTGTTATCGTTGAGTTTGTTCCTGGTGCTAAGACGCTAAAGAACTTTTTGATCAGGAATCGAAGAAACAAACTTGCCTTTAAGGTTGTGATTCAACTTGCTGTGGATCTCTCCAAAGGGTGAGTTGGGTTCATTTTTGGTGCTTGATTTAATTCTGTTTTTTTGTTGGGTTTCAAACTAAAGGATTGTTCTTGTTGTTTCATTCTCTCAGTTTGAGCTATCTTCACTCGAAGAAAATTTTACACCGTGACGTCATACCGGAAAATATGTTGGTTGATAATCATGGAACATTGAAAATTGTTGATTTTGGCGTTACTATAATAGAAACACATAAACCAAGGGACATGACTGGGTACATGGCCCCAGAGGTACCTACTTTTTGTTAATTATTGCCAAATCTAGTTCTAAACAAATTTGAAGCGGACATTCTTTTATCTATAGATTCCCCTTGCTGCAAATTGGATTAGAATTCTAACATCAAGGTTTTTGTAGTTCCTTGATGGCAAGCCATACAACAGGAAATGCGATGTCTATAGTTTTGGTTTTTTCTTGTGGGAAATCTATTGCTACGGCATGCCTTATCCTAATCTAAGTTTTGATGATGTGCGACAGGTTGGTTTGTTGTTGCACATACTGCTTTAATTTCTATATGAGATTTTACTGCAAATTTGTTTTGAAGTAGTGGAGCTGATGTAGCAAAACTTGTCTGTCTTTGGCTTTTAAGTAATGTTGATCACCAAATGTTAGTCCTAATATTGTATGCTTGGATGGCAGAATTTACGACCAGAAATCCCAAGATGTTGTCCAAGCACATTGGCTAGCATCATGCGAAAATGTTGGGATGCAAACCCGGATAATCGCCCTGAAATGGAAGAGGTAGTGAAAATGTTGTATGCAATAGATACTAGCAAGCGAGGCGGCATGATACCTGAAGACCAGTCTACCGGCTGTTTCTGTTTCAGCACACCTCGCGGTCCATGACCTTTGTTTCGTGTAATATACTTTTATAGAATGTGCAGTGCATATTAAGACCAGTTACCATTTCAGTGTTAGACTGCAGACAGCAGGCAGTCTTTGAATTATCATATCACATCTCTGAATAATGCACCAACAGCATTTTTGAAAACCCATGTTGCTTGTGGCTCCTTATTGTAAATTAGTTTGGAAATCAAGTTTTTACGACCCTAAAGAAAAATGTCTTGTAGTTTTATTATGTTATTTTTACTGTCATGGTTTGGTAATATCTTGATGAGGCAGTTATTCTCTAAACAAGACATTTCTTCTTTATTAAATAACAGGGTGTTGATCTGATGTAAATAAGATGTCGATCATAATGGTCGTTAACATGTATGTTTTATCGTGTAAATATTGGCATTAACACTGTAAAATCAGTCCATTAAGGAAGAATAGATGTCGTGCAAAGAGAAAGCGGAGGCAATTCTTTCTTGTTTAAAATTAAGAAAAGAAAGGATATTACTAGGAACCCAAAATCAAATTGATTTGCACATTTTTGTGGTGCAAAGCATACCTACCTAATGTTCCTTTAGAAATCCCAAAGGACACCACCCCTTACTTTTGGGTTTGGTGGGTAGGCGGCACCCCTCCCTCTCTCTAGTGGTAGTGGGTGGAGCGATTTTATTATAGTCAAAATTTAGCACACAAATGTATAAATATTAGTTTTTATAAAACAATTCAAATATAGTCAAGAATTCACTTAAGTAGACTTAACTACATTCAAAATTAAAAGCTAATTACACCTAAAATCAAATGGAGTATTTTTGCTGATCACCATAACTATAATGTATGCCCATCATTTTAGATGATATTTGGAACAAAGGTGACTATGATCTATACGATCTCTGGACAAGACTTCAATCCCCTTTTGGCGTCGGAGCTGGAGGAAGTAAGATACTTGTGACAACCCGTGATGTGAATGTTGCAAAGTTTATGGGAGCCGCTGGAGTCCATAATTTGAAGTGCATGAGAGATGATGATTGTTTGGAAATATTTGAGCGACATGCATTCGGGGAACTTAACGATGGAAAACCAGTAAATTATGAGTTAATTCGAAGAAAAATTGTCGAAAAATGTCGTGGATTACCATTTGCTGCAAGGACTCTCGGTGGCCTTTTACGTTGCAAAGAAAAGGATGAGTGGGAAGAAATATTAAACAACAAATTGTGGAATATAGCAGATAAGAGTGACATTCTCCCCGTACTAAAGTTGAGCTATCACTATCTTCCAAAAAATTTGAAGAGGTGTTTTGCCTATTGCTCAATACTTCCAAACGACTATGAATTTAGGGAGAAGCAACTCGTCCTTTTGTGGATGGCAGAGGGTTTGATTCAACAAAAACCTGAAGACAATAAACAAATGGAGGATTTGGGCCGTGACTACTTTCAAGAGCTATTATCAAGGTCGTTGTTTCAAGAATCAAGCAAAAACAATTCACGATTTGTAATGCATGACCTCGTTAATGATTTAGCATAATGGGCAGCAGGAGAAATATGTTCTAGGTTGGAAGATAAGCAAGGTGATAACTTGCAACGCACCTGCTTTCGAAGGGCTCGCCATTCATCTTTCATTGCTGGTCAATTTGATGGAGTTACGAGATTTGAGGACTTTTCTAAAGTTGAACGTTTGCGAACATTCCTGCCACTTTCACTTTCAGATTCCAGGTAGTGGAGTAAATATTTGTCTCATAAGGTTATTTTTGAGTTACTACCACAGTTGCAATACTTACGAGTGCTCTCTTTGAATGGCTACAAAATAACTGAGCTGCCAAACTCAATCGGTAATTTGAGGTTGTTGCAGTATCTTGACCTTTCCTACATAGATATAACCAGTTTGCCTGAATCAACAAGCACTCTTTACAGCTTGCAAACATTGATATTGGAAGGTTGTTCTAAATTGAAGTCATTGCCTGCGAACATGAGTAATCTAATTAATTTGCGCCATCTAAACAACTCGGATGCATATTCGTTGGGAGGAATGCCTCCACAACTGGGTAGATTGGTGAATCTCCAATCATTGTCTAATTTTGTGGTCAGTGGTGGTAGTGATCAATCAAGGATAAGAGAGAAAGAGTTCCTATTGCATCTCCGCGGGACATTGTGCATATCAAGATAGGGGAATGTGATTGATGTCGAGGATGCTCGGAGGGCCAACTTAAAATACAAGGAGAGGCTTGATTCGTTGGTCCTAGAATGGTCTCATTCAAGCGACACAAGAGAAATGGAATCTGCTGTGCTTGACATGTTACAGCCTCATACAAAGCTCAAGGAGCTCACCATCAAGAGTTATGCCGGAAAGGAATTTTCATCATGGGTTGCAGTTTTTTTGTTCTCTAATGTGGTGCTTGTGCGGTTAGAGGAGTGTAACAATTGTTTATCGTTGCCACCTCTTGGACAATTGCCTCATCTCAAAGAACTTTATATTAGAGGAATGAATGCAGTGGAAAGTGTTGGTGCTGAGTTTTATGGAGAGTGCATCTCGCCTTTTCCGCTATTAGAGACTCTTGAGTTTGTGGATATGCAGCATTGGAAGGAATGGCTTCCTTTCCAATTGGATCATGGAAATGGTGTTTTCCCTTGCCTGAAAACGCTCTTTGTAAAAAAATGTTCAAAACTGGGGGGTAAGTTGCCAGAGAACCTCAATTCTTTAGCAAAGCTTGGAATTGTTAAATGTGAAGAATTAGTGGTTTCAATTGCCAACTACAAACAACTTCGTCAGTTAAACATTGACTGTTGTAAAGTGTTGGTGCATACAGCTGCTAAGGTTGAGTTTGAGTTGTTAGAGTCCTTGTGCCTTTCAAACATTTCAGAGCTGATGTGTCTGCAAACAGGGGAATTGTTCCAGAAGGGATTAAGCAAGTTTAGAGATTTGAAGATTAATGGATGTGAGGAGCAGATGTCTTCATTGTAGAATGACGGTAGATTATTGCAGCAGTTGACTTCTCTTGGCCGTTTGGAAATTGAAGACAACTCTCCTCTAGTTGAAGAATTGGGAAAAGAAGCAGATGAGTTGCTGCAATTGCAAATATTGGAGTGCAAGCTTGAAGGACTGGAGCCAAAGAAGTGCAAAAATATTTTAAAGCTACCAAAAGGGTTAAATCAGTTGTTGTCTCTTCAACAGCTTTGCATACACAAATGTCTACGTCTAGTTTCTTTTGAGGATGTTGGTCTGCCACCTTCTCTTAAAGACATCAAGATTACAGAGTGCCATTCGATGATATATTTGGCAAAATTTCAGATTCCCCAAAATCTCGGAAGAATACAGATAAGTGACTGTAAAAGTTTGAAATCACTAGTAGATGAGGAGGTTGTTGGTTCTTCTCTGTTGTCTTCTCACATTTGTCTTGAATACTTGAAAATCCAGGAATGTCAATCTCTGACGTTGTTATCATTGAGCGGCCAGCTTCTTAGGACACTTAAACACCTTGAGATATACGATTGTTTACAGCTGGAGTTAATTGTACAGGACGGGTTCTCCCACTACAACACTAATCAGTGTCTTGAATATATAAGGATCTGGAAGTGCCAAAATCTGAAATACTTACCGGATGGCTTATGCCACCTCATCAATCTTCAAACGTTGGATATTTATTACTGGGGAAGTCTTGTTTCTATCCCCGGACTGAGTGGGGGGAGAAGAGCCTTCAACCTGAGAGAGATCAAGATAACCGATTGCGACAAATTGGAGGTGTTACCCGAAGCCATGCACAATCTCAACTCTCTTGAGGAATTGACCATCAACTACCGTGAAGGTTTGAGTTGCTTCTTTCCCTCCAACCTCACATCACTTACAATTTGGAAGGTCAAAAGCTGTAAGTCATTATGGGAGTTAGAGTGGGGATTGCACAGACTCACCTCTCTTAGAAAATTATGGATCTACGGTAATGACCCGGATACGGTTTCGTTTCCACCCGACGTGGTCCAGAAGGAGCCGCTCCTCCCCAAATCTCTTACTGGACTATTAATTTGTGGTTTCCCGAATCTGAAGAAACTGAGTAGCAAGGGCTTTCAATCCCTAACGTTTCTTGAATCTCTGCATCTCTCCAGTTGTCCACAGCTAGCATCCATTCCAGATGAGGGTCTTCCTCCTTCACTTACACAACTTCTTATCTCTGGGTGTCCTGTGCTAAAAGAGAGACGCGAACGAGGAAAAGGACGCTACTGGCACAAAGTATCCCACATCCCTTACATAGCATAGAGAGATTTTAAGATGATGTGAAGCTGATAGTCGATTCGATCCCAGTCTCCAGGTCCAGGTATCATCTTCTCAATAGTATTGTTAATCGTCTTTATTCTCGTAATTAAAGTAATCCACAATATTCCTCAAGTTGGTAAAATGTTTTAAGTTTTTTTTTTATTTGTGTCCTCAAGATTTTGGGGTTTCAGGAGTGACTGTTTTAAGAGGCATTCATTTGAGATTTGGCTGACAAACTACTGTAGGGCTGGTTTTGTGTTTGCATTGAGAGCGATTCTCTAAAGACAACCATGCCTATTTCTAGGCCAAGGTTTCTTCTCCCGTGCTGCTCACAACTCTAGTGTATGAGCTCTCCAGATTTGTAATATAACTGTGGTACTCTTTTCTAAGTTTGGAGTTTTTCCCACTGGGTTTTCTCCGATCAAGATTTTAACGAGGCCACTTAAACCTGAACTTTTGTAATTCCTCCCTATGATGGATGTTCACCGTTTTCCTATCCCAGTTTATTTTATTTTAGCAATTTGCGACTTGTAAGCGAGTAGTGCATTTAATTTAATGTGTCGAGAATTAGGCAATTAACAAGGAAATGGAAAGGCAAGGGGCTTATTGTTCAAGTGGGTAAAAGAATGTTTTTACTCTTGTACCTCAGGTTTTATCGTCGAATACCCCTTCCGCATTGTTGCTTGTATAAGAAATAATAATAGTAGTAAATAGATCATTCTCTTGCTTCCACATCTTTCCCGAATTACCTCCCTGCTAATGACTTGCGGAATTGGGCGAGAATGGATCATAAAGTTGTCCTCCTCCTCCAAGATCAGATGCCGACTTTCCCGTGGCAAAATTGAGCGAGTAGTCAGCATCCGTATAACCTTCAATACTAAAATAACCATTCTTCTTAAATAAAATCCTTTTCCCCGGACTTCCTTTCAAATAACTCAATATTCTTAAAAATGCGTTCATGTGTTGTTCTCCTGGATCATGCATGTATTGACTAACGACACTCAAGGCATGAGCAAGGTCTGGTCTAGTATATATATGCCAAATACATTAATCTTCCCACTAACCGTTGATACCTTCCTTTATCTACCAGTACTTGGTTTAGATCAATGCTTAGCTTCATTCCTTTTGCCAACGGAGTAGTCACGGGTTTGCATGCTGACATGCCAGTTTCTTATAACAAGTCAAGAATATACTTTATCTGTGACAGGAAGATTCATGACTTGCTACTTGATACCTCAATCTCAAGAAAATATTTCAGATACCCAAGATCCTTCATCTCAAATTTTGTACTCAAATATTTCTTCAAGGCTACACTCTCATCCAGATCATTACCGGTAACTACCATGTCATCCACATATACAATGAGTGTTGTAAGCTTTCCATTCCAACATTTCAAGAATAGTGTGTGATCACAGTTACTTTGCTTATATCCAAATGCTCTCATAGACTTGGTAAATCTATCGAACCATGCTCTTAGGGAGTACTTTAACCCATACAATGATTTTCGAAGCTTGCACACCTTTTGTCTATGCATATCTGGAACGTTACTCCCTGGTGGGAGTTCCATGTAAATCTCTTATGTCAAATCCCTATGCAAGAAGGCATTCTTCACATCGAACTACTGTAACAGCCAATTAAGATTTGCAACCAAGGACAACAAAACACGAACTGTATTGATCTTGGTCATAGGGGCAAATGTATTTGTCTAGTCAATTCCATATTTTTTTTAGTGCATCCTTTTGCTACTAGTCTTGCCTTGAAGCGATCCACCATCCCATCAGCTTTGTACTTCATCGTATAAACCCATTTGCATCCCACAGGTTTCTTGCCAGCTGGCAAGTCTATGATCTCCCATGTAGCATTCTTCTTCAAATACTTCAACTCTTCATTCATTGATGCTTTCTAACGTGGATCAGTTAAAGCCTCTTGCACATTGTTAGGAATAGATACAATAGATAATTGATGCACAAATGACTTATTTGATTCTGACAGGTGACTGATAGACATATAATTACTTGACGGGTATAACACATTAGACTCATGGTTAGGCTTACTCATCGGATACCTAGTTTTGCATTTAGGGTCGGCTTCATAAGTAAGTTTAGGAACACCTCGGTTGACGCGATCAGGGAGACGACATGGTGGTGGTGCATCAGGGATCGAAAATGATTGATTATGGTTATTGGGACTCAAGATCGACTGTGAGGTAGCTGGTGACACATGACTGTCCGGTGGTGAGGAAACTGATTGTGAGCTATCAGGTAGTGAGTTATCTGGCAATGTCGAGTCGTCCCTTTCAAAGTTTTCAACATTGTTTCCATGTGAATGATCACCATTTGTCTCCAAGAAATTACCACTTAGTTCCAAGTCATTCACATTGATAAGGTATGTTCCCGATGTTCGAGGGACATCGGGATGACCACATGCTGACCAACACCCGAGGGTGATACAAGCCATTTAATGAATGCACATGCAGAGAATAATATAATAATATTCAAACTTTAATAAAATGATAGTGATAATGCATGACATGTTCAGAGCATACATCTAATTCAGAATACAAGCGAAATGTGCTATTACAATGATGTCAAAACAGAGAGGATCACACGATGTCACTAGTTGGGGAATGCCTCGTAGCTCGGATCATATGCCTCGTTCTTATGTCTTGAGGGGATGCAAAACAAATATAAGTGGACCAAGTTGATATATATATAATTGAAACAATTATTCATCAACGTACTAACCCCTAAAGTTTCATGAAAACTCAATAGTATAATATGTATTAGGTTTTTCCGAAAACCCTAGCATGCCATAAAACGTTTCATAAAACGTATATCGTATATAATGTGCTAAATAGTGGTATCATAATCGACCAAAGCCACTACATCACCTGACCCGTAGGCCAAAATATATGAATATCTTATGACCCGTAGGCCAAATAAATATCTTCTGTCCCATAGACCACTACATCACCCAACCGAAGCCAATATATGTATGTATCATCACCCATAGGCAGAACAATGACCACTAGATAAGCACAAAACCATTGAATATAGTCTTTCCAACATAAGTACATATATATATCAAAGCATCTTCATAGTATATAGTCATCCATCATATATACTATAGAGAACATAAATTTGATAAAGTATGGTATTCCAAAATATTCTCAGTAAAGCATGATAATCATAAAGTATAAATCTAATTTACTCATAACACGTTTCATAAAATGTAACCATTAAATCATGATTTTCATGTATGCATTTTTACTATTAAAACATGCATTTTAGAAGGGGTTCACTTACAGATACTTCGTCTTTGAAGAGCCGTGCGAAATAGGAATGATGGAAATGCCGCTAATAAACACACCTAAGCACATAAAGGGTCCAATTTATAAAACTCAATCATAATGATTGAATTTCGAAAAAAGAACATTATAAACGGATTCAAGATGTCGAAACACGTAAAGGGAGACCTAGGGTACCCCCACGTGCTGCCATAGATCGCCAGAAAATTGGCTGAAAAAGTCACCGGTGTCATCATGGACGGCAGATTGTGTGCTCCACGTGTTGGCACTGGCTTGGCCTCACGTGGGCCCATGCGCAGGCCCACGCGCGGCCAGGGTTCTGGGTTGGACCGGGTTTAGGCTTAGGCCTAAAGGGTTTCTATGCTTGGATTCCTTGGGCCGAAGGCCCAAGCTTGCATAACCCAAAGGCCTGGGGTCACTTGGGTTTTGGGCTGGGCTATGAAAGGGATTTGGGCTTGGTTTCAATGAGCCGCAAGCCCAATGGTTTGGGTTCAAAGGGCTTTTGGGTTTGGGTTCTAAAGGTTTAATTGGGGTTTTGGGCTGGGCCTTAGGGTTTTGGGCTAGTAGCCCGGCCCAAAAGAAATCTAGGTTCAAGGGATTTTGGGCTTTCGGGTTTGGGTCGTTTGACTAGGTTTCGACAGAAAAGAAGGTTGAAGCTTCCTAAGCTTTGTTTAACTCCGGTACTCAACCTTAGGGTACGATCTAAGTACCAAAATGAAGTGCAAGATGAGAGGAAGAGTTTCATACCAAATACACGTCGTGAGGTGGCCTGAGTCAGCCAGATTTTGGCTAGAAAGCCACAGGGCTCACTGGAGGAACTTTCTGGGTTTCTTGGGCTTCATAGAGGAAGGGAAGAGAGAGAGACTCACTTAGTGGTTTGTGGTGTCGTCGTCGCTGTCGATTTCTTCGTTTTTGGGCGTATATAGGCGTGTATGTAAATCAGGGAGAGGGATAGAGAGTTTGTGCTAGAGAGAGAGTGAGCTGAGAGAGAGCTCAAGGGAGAGAAGAGAGAAAAAGATGGGTGTGGGGGAGCTGCCACGTGGCAGCTAGAGAAAAGGGAAGAATTTGGAGAAAATCCAAAAAGGAATGGATTGGGTAAATGATAGAAGGCAAGCTGGTAATTTTATAAATTCGTGAATATAAAATTACATAGTTTGGGACGGGTTTCACAGACATCATTATTTTCGTGTGAATGATCACCACTTATTTCCAAGACATCACCACTTAAATCCAAATCATTCACACTATCTATATTTGGAATGGTATAATCAAGAGTTTGAACTTTTATCTGATTCTCCCCCTGAAGTGAAGACTCGAGATTGGAAAAGTGTATGTCATTCTCATGAAAGATAACATCCATAATGACAAACAATTTTTTCATTGGAGGGTGATAACAACGATACCCCTTTTGATTTGAGGCATACCCCACAAACACACACCGTAAGGCCGAGGTTCAAGCTTACTTCTTTGTTGTTTATGAAGATGAACGAAGGCCACACAGCCAAACACGTGAGGTGGAAGATTAGGAACTGTAGGAGCATCAATAAATGAAGAAAGAGTTTGGAGCAATGTCTGAAAGTTGACTAATTAATGTTCATATAATGTGATAGTATCATTAGCTAAGAGGCCACATAGAATGTCGGTACTGCATGGCACAAAAGCAGTGTAAAATCTACATGTTTAGGCAATATCATCA